GAAAATAAGCAAGGCTTAGAAAACTAAGAAACTTAGCCAAGACTATACAACTGGTAAATCATATAGAGCGAGCATTCATTTACCAATCCTTCCCCTTTGGTAGATTGAAATTAAAAGCAAGAGTTATGGTTTTCTGGCATTTTGAGTCTTGCAGACAGTACCTGACTTTTAGCAGGTGCTTTGGTAAGTGTTTATTTGACACCTGTGGACTCTTTGCTTGGCCAGCCAGACTTCTGGTTCTGATTCCTCCTTAGGTGAAACAAACTCAAGTGGAAGAGCTGGTAGTGAGAATGAAATAGAAAAGAAAGAAGGTGACGCAAGTCTTAGAACCAGTGGAGAAAAAATAATGGATATAGCCATAGTGATGTTTCAGGAAGGAGATTGTTTTTTAGCCAAAAAATAAAGAAAAGATAAAGACAAATTTCTTTGATAAAGAAAGGCAAGTTAATTTAGCTGGGACCACGATCACGTTAACTTAAGCTGACACTCCAGAGTTATGCATCAAAGCGTTCAGAGCCAGATTTGTGTTAAATTAACGTGGGCTTTCTTTCCTGACCCTTCATCTTTCTATATTGCTAAATCTTTAGGCAAGTTTAACCACAAATCCAAATGCTATCTATCACCCCTGGGACCATTAAGCAATTAGCCCTGTTGAGGAGTGATTTTTATGCCCCTTGCGTTGAGCTTTGAAGGAACTGCGACCACCTCTCTCCCCACCCGCCTCTCTCTCACTCTCCTTCCCTTGCTGGGTTTGGAGGAGGCCTGCGCTATTCTTTGTGGCTGCTCTTCCTGACTCTGCTGGTTTCCCCCTAAACCGCATAGCCTAAGTCTGCTGAGTCTCGTGTAACCAAGCACCACATATGTGGCAGCGCTTGTCTCAAGGAGGGCTGGAACAGGCCTTGGGAACTGGATCCCTGTGGCATTTCACAGTGTTAATCCTGTCTCTGTTTTGTCCTTCATGCATCAGAGGGTCTTTGCAGAACTGCAGAGCATTAGGACTTGTACTGCTTCTGCTGAGATACATCATTGGTGCATTTACCTGTACTTAATGTATTGGTCCTAAACTTTATTTTTTTACTCGGTATCCTAAATTTTGTTAATTGTGCAGCTGTTCTCTGTTTTTTCTTAGCTGATAACTCTTACTGCCTGATAATGCTCATCTTAACATTATTTTGAGGGCTTTGATCCTTTAGGTCCCGTCTTAAATTTACAAAAGTACATGAAATCAAATTTCTAACAAATTGTTTATGAAGAACGAGCCAGGATTCTCTGGGCTTTCTGGATTCACAGATCAAAATAATACAGTGACTAGATTTTGAAATTGAAGTCATATTTTTAAAGTCTAAGAGGAGTATGTGGCAAGTACAGGTGGCTCACTGCTCAGCTTGGCCCCCAACGTGGCACTTTTTAGTTTTAAAAACAAGATTCTTCACAGAGCATGAAGAGTAGATCACATGTGAACAAACGTGAATGGATTTTCTCTTTCCTTTACCATATTTTTTCCACCTAATATGTCCTATAATTTTATTTTTTCTACTAAAATAATTTCCAAAATTATCCTGGTTCTTGCTTTACTTTTTGGTGTGGATAGAAAGGAATCTCGTGCACCCAGTATACTTGATTTGCCTGCTCAGTGGTTTGCCTTTTCCTAACCTCGGGTAAACTAGCAGGGGAAGGAGCCCAGCACTGGAGGCGGTTGCTCTGGCCGCAGGGATGATTTCCAGGTGGATGTCGGAAGAGCTGCCTCTCCTCGTGTCGGACTTGTTGGCGTCTTTGCTGAGAGGGTAATAGCCAGGTGCTGGGAGTGGAAAGGGGGCACCTCTGTGCTCTCATCTTCTTAGGACATATAAGCTGCTTCTGTGTGATCAACAGCAACCAAAAAAAGGTTAATTCTGGGTTTAAAATTTAGTGTAAGCAGCTTATTTTTTTTAAAAGAGTAAGAAGAGGAAAATGAAGAATCAATTTTAGGGCTAAAAAATAAGTAAATAACCATTGCAGAGAAGGATTCATGAAATGTTGATTGATTGTTTGCACGATGGAAAAAAGATTAATCTCTCCATCTCCACTCATAACCCTCGTCAACATCAGCTTTCTATACGACCTGGCTGTTCCCGTGTCTGGCTGCCGGAGAATGTGAGCTACTTTGGGCAAGTTCTCGTTCATCCTTCCTTTTCTGTATCTCCTGATTCCTGGCATAATACCTCACACTCAGGAGGCTTTCCTAAAGGTACTCTTCTAACTGAGTAGAGACAGTATAAAGAAATACGTTTGAAAAACTTGTGCGGAGAGCCAGTTGAATTCCATTTGTACCCATTCAGAGGGAGAGTTTGTAAGATGGAACTCAGGATTCAGTTGACTAATAGGTTTAGCACTAGGAGGAAAGAAAGAAGAAAACAGATTCAAATTAAGTAGCCATTGATCTGAACAGAAACCTTTTGAATCTTAGAATTTCAGTGCTGGATGTTAGAAATCGTTTCAAGGATGAAATGCACATGTGTTTTTGCTTTCTGATAATTATTTTATAAAAGCTTGAAAATATTTGTTTTAAAATTCATTATAAGGAGACATACTTGCTGTGACAAAGGCATGTATTTGTATAAATTTAAAGACCCTGTACTTTTTCATAGGAAATCACAAGTTCTTGGTTCAGCTTTGAGTGATACTGGACATGCTACTTAACACATTTGTACCACAGTGTATACAGAGGGAATCACATATATCTTATAGAGTATTTTAGGATATCCTTTTAATGCATTTTAAAATTAAATATTAGAACATATCAGTTTGAAAAATATTTATGCAAACTGTTAAATTACTTTGGAGAAATTCTAAATTCACAGCTTATTTTTGGATTTTAAATGTTCAAATTCAATCTAGAATTATTTTTACTATTTTATTCTAAGGCCTTTTTCACATTTGATATATCTATTAAGGATGATTGTTTTCCCTTATGAAACACTGGATTTATTTATGTGTTTGTTTTATTATTATTTAGAGAAGTATAAGGTAGAAATACATTAAAATTAGATAGAATCACCATATGATCCAGCAGTCCCACTTCTGGGTATATACCAAAAGGAAGTGAAATCAGTATCTCAAAGAGTTATCTGCACCCTCATGTTCATGGCAGCATTATTCACCATAGACAGGTTGTGATAACAGCCTAAATGCCTCTTGACAGGTGAATGGATAAAGAAAATGTGACATATGTATACATATATA